ACTCAGCTAATTTTTGTATTATTAGTAGAGACAAGGTTTCACCATGTTGCCCAGGCTAGTCTTGAACTCCTGATGTCAGGTGATCCACCCGCCTCGGCCTCCCAAAGTGCTGGGATTACAGGCGTGAGCCACCACGCACGGCCAGAGTTTCATTCTTGTTGCCCATGCTGAAGTTCAGTGGTGCCATCTTGGCTCACTGCAACCTCCGCCTCCCAGGTTCAAGTGCTTCTCCTGCCTTGCCTCCTGAGTAGCTGGGATTACAGGCATGCCACTACGTCCGGCTAATTTTGTATTTTTAGTAGAGACGGGGTTTCTCCATGTTGGTCAGGCTGGTCTCGTACTCCTGACTTCAGGTGATCCACCCATCTTGGTCTTCCAAAGTGATAGGATTACAGGCATGAGCCACCATGCCTGGACAATTTTTTTTTTTTCCTCTTTTTTTTTTTTTTTTTGTGAGACCGAGTTTCACTTTTGTTGCTCAGGCTGGAGAGCAATGGTGCAATCTCAGCTCACTGCAACCTCTACCTCCTGGTTCAAGCAATTTCTCCTGCCTCAGCCTCCCTAGTAGCTGGGATTACAGGTGCACGCCACCATAACTGGCTAATTTTTTGTATTTAGTAGAGATGGGGTTTCACCATGTTGGTCAGATTGGCCTCGAACTCCTGACCTCAAGTGATCTGCATGCCTCGAGATTACAGGCATGAGCCACCATGCCTGGCCTATTGTATACTTTAAATGGTGACTTTTATGGTGTATAAATTATATCTCAATTTTTTTTTTTTGAGACGGGCTCCTGCTCCGTTGCCAGGATGGAGTGCAGTGGTGCGATCTCAGCTCACTGCAACCTCTGCCTCCCGGGTTCAAGCTATTCTCTTGCCTCGGCATCTCAAGTAGCTCGGACTGCATATGCGCACCACCACACCAGCTAATTTTGTATTTTTAGTAGAGATGGGGTTTCACCATGTTGTCCATCTCTTGACCTCATGATCCGCCTGCCTCGTCCTCCCAATGTGCCGGGATTACAGGTGTGAGCCACCACATCCAGCTTATATCTCAGTTTTTTAAAAGGAAAAAAAAAAAGCGATATTGCAAGAAACAAACCATGGTCTTCCTGCTGGAGTTTTCTAAATGGCTACCATGGCTTTCAACACACTTTATGTAACATAGTAATGACAACAGATTTAAGAAGCTGACAGTGAATGCGGGTTCTACAGGATTCTTACCATAGAAACTTACTGCAGAGTTTATTTCAGATTCAGACTGGAAGGTCTATCCCAATGACTTCAGAAGCTGTGATAGTGTGTGCATTATTTCCTAGCAATTGTGATATTTCTTCCTAGTAGAGGGTAATTAGACTATTTAGACAGCAAGTTTTTGAAAAAGGGCCATACTTCCTTGTCTCCTGTGTCCCCCATATCTATGTTCCACACGTAGAGTGTGCAGAAAAAGCTTCCCATTTTCCCTAATTATAGGAGAAAAACAATGCAGCCACTACCACATGTAATACTCAGTTGTATCCATTTAATTATCCTTAAATAGATGGAAGCAAATGGTGTCTCTATCTCCCTACGAAGGGCAGGGCACAGGAATTAATATCAAACATGGTTAAGGAAATGCACAGTGTAGCAACTAGGAACCTTTTGCTTTCCTATTCCTTGACTGGGCTGAAGTACCGGGCCCTTTGACTTTCTTGTCTTCAGCTTTCTACTTTTGACTGACTTTCTCTGTGTGTGACTGTGTGTGATCCCTTTACTTCAGGACTCCTTTATGTGCAAGAGAAAGAAGAAGTTTAGCTCAGACTTCCAGAAACTTCAGTTAGAAAGGAGACAAGGAGACGGTGAGTCCAGTGTACCAAGCTGGAGTCACACACCCACCACTGGGACAGAGGAGGCCTGGGCATCCCACCAGAACTAGAATAATTTAGCAGAGTTCCAAACAGTTCTCTACCTTCTGTTCCCTTTTCCTTTGATGGATAATATGATTAACTGTATTATTAGCTATATAATGCTGCATAGCAAATTACTCCAAAATGTATTGACTTAAAACAGTAGGCCGAACATGGTGCCTCACACCTGTAATCCCAGCACTCTGGGAGGCTGGTGTGGGTGGATCACCTGAGGTCAGGAGTTAGAGATTAGACTGGCCAATGTGGCAAAATGCCATCTCCACTAAAAATATGAAAATTAGCTGAGCGTGGTGCCACATACCTGTAGTCCCAGCTACTTGGGGGGCTGAGGCATGAGAATCACTTGAACCTGGGAGGCAGAGGTTGCAGTAAGCCATTGCACTCTAGCCTGGCTGGGCAACAGACCAAGACTCTGTCTCACAAAAAAAAAAAAAAAAAAAGGTAAGCATTTTTAAAATCTCAAACAGTGTCTGTGGTCAGGGATTTTAGAGTGGCTAAGCTGGGAAGATCTGGCTCTGGCTTAGGCTGTCTCACAAGGTTATAGGATCAAGACGCCAGTTAGGGATGTAGTAATCTGAAGGCATGATTGGGGCTGGAGAATCCACTTAAGTTGGCCCTCTCCCACACATAGCAAGTTTATGCTAGCTGCTCACAGAAGGTCTCAGTTTATCACCATGCAGGCTCCTCCACAGGGCTTCCTGAATGCCCTCACAATGTGGTGTCTGGCTTCTGCCACAGCAGAGTACAAGAGGCAGAAGGTGCAATGTCTTCTATGATCTAGCCTTGGAAATCACGTTTCATCATTTCTACAATATCCTGTTGGTTACAAAGGTCAGCCCATCATGTGGGAGAGCACTACACAGGGCTGTGAAAATCAGGAGGTACATTCACTGTAGGGACATCTTGGTACCTGGCTGCCATATAAACCATAAGATAAAGGGCAACTTCAATTGAATCCCTCTGTGTTCTCCAATGCAAACCCCAAATCCTGGTATGGCATCTCCAAAGAAACATGCTATATCGCTTTGCAGAGGATCCAGGGGAATGAGCAGGGATTAGACAGAAGGAGCAAAATGACTGAAGACAGTCTAAGAAATATTCAGAGTCACCATCAGAATAAAGGGAAAGACATGAATGGAGTTTATACATCAGGAAAGGGATGGAAAGGAGATCATTTTGCCAAATTACAGGAGAATAGCAAAAGGGGGGCTGGGTGTGGTGGCTCACACCTGTAATCCCAGCACTTTGGGAGGCTGAGGCAGGCAGATCACTTGAGGTCAATAGTTCAAGAACAGCCTGGTCAACATGGTGAAACCTTGTCTCTAATAAAAACATAAAAAATTAGCCAGGCATGGTGGTGCACACCTGTAATCCCAGCTACTTGGGAGGCTTAGGCAGGAGAATCACTTGAACCTGGGAGGTGGAGGTTGTAGTGAGCAGAGATCATGCCACTGCACTCCAGCCTGGGTGTCAGAGTGACAATTTGTCTTAAAGAAAGAAAGAGGAGCTCCCAGGGCAGACATGGTGGCTCATCCCTGTAACTCCAGGACTTTGGGAGGCCAAGTCAGGAGGACTGCTTGAGCTCAGGAGTTCAAGATCAGACTGGGCAACACAGTGAGATCCTGTCTATACAATAAAAAAGAAGGCTGGGCACAGTGGCTCACACCTATAATCCCAGCACTTTGGGAGGCCAAGGGGGGTGGATCATAAAATCAGGAGATCGAGACCATCCTGGCCAACATGGTGAAACCCCATCTCTAATAAACATTTAAAAATTAGCCAGACATGGTGGCACAGCCTGTAATCCCAGCTATTCTGGAGGCTGAGGCAGGAAAGTCGCTTCAACCTGGGAGGTGGAGATTGCAGTGAGCCAAGATTGAAAATCGCTTGAACCTGGGAGGTGGAGATTGCAGTGAGCCGAGTACACCACTGCACTCCAGCCTGGTGACAGAGTGAGACTCCGTCTCAAAAATAAAAAAATAAAAAAGAAAGGACTCCCTTTTTTAAAGCCAGGAAGTTATAGGAACATTCAAAGATGTCCTCACACAGAGCTCAGTCCCCTGGGGTGATCTAGATAGAGAATGTAGACAGCACCTTGTGAGGTGAAGTTCAGATGTTCAGCCCGGTTCCTTCCCACTGCTTCTCAGTGGTCTTCCTAGGTTTGAAACCTTGCCCTGGAGGTGCCACATGCACAGTTTCTCCAGGGCCCATGAGACCTGGACCTATTTATGCTGGGGCCCCAGGTGGCCTTATTAGGATAACAAGAGCCAGACACAGTGGCTTATGCCTGTAATCCTAGCACTTTGGGAGGCTGAGGTGGTAGGACTGCTTGAGCCCAGGAGGTCAAGACCAGCATAGGCAACATGGTGAAACCCTGTCTCTACAAAAAATAGAAAAAATTAGCCAGGTGTGGTGGTGTGCACCTGTGGTCCCACCTACTTAGGAGGCTGAGGTGTGAGAATCACCTGAACGTAGGAAGTCAAGACTGCAGTGTGCCATGATCGCGTTTCTGCACTCCAGCCTGGATGACTGTGTGAGACCCTGTCTCAAAAAAAAAAAAAAAAAAAAAAAAATATATATATATATATATGATAAAGCAACGAAGGTATCCAGGCAACTCACTCTGCAGCTATTTTCCTTGTCGGTTATTTTGATTGGTAGGTTTGGTCCTGAGGTTTGCTGGGTGAGTTTGTCTTTCTAGGCAAATCCAAGTCTACAGATCAGGCTTTGATTTGGGGTGGGATCTGAGTCTCCCTTTCACGCAGTTGTGGCTTTGAAAGATTGGAGATGTGTGAGTGTGCTAGCATGTACGTGTGTGTGCTGGTGTGCGTGTTGGTCACCTAAAACTCCAGTTGTTTCCAGTCTGGACACTGCAAAGAAATTATTGCCAATTGCACTATATCATGGTTGTGCATTTGTGTTGATATTTAGAGTAAATATAGTTGACTCAAATGACTTGTTGTGAGTAAGAATGCAAAGTTCAGGAAGAATATGGGGGAAGATTAAATAAGACTTCTTCCCTTCCCAAAGTTCCTGGGCTTTTCTGGTCCTATGTTCTGTGCTTCATGTCCATGTGAGCCTCCTTTGCCCCCAGAACCAGGATGAAGATGTTTGTGGCTGAGGCAGCTACTGGGTACCTCTCCAGATGCAGAGGGTGAGTCTCCTCACACTATGCTTTGTCATAACTGTGTTTGGTCTTGCATCAGGAAAGTGAAGAACTCTGGCTGTATAAAGTATGGAGTTGAAGACATACTTCTGTCTCCAGCCAGCCTTGCAAATTTGAGTAGGCCTCTTAGCTTCTTTTCCCTGGGCCTCAGTTTCATCACCTCTGAGTCAGAGTTGGTAAGACCTGTCCTGTTCATCTCACAGGGTTCTGGGAGGACTGACTGGGATAATGAAGGCAAAAGTGGGCTACCTATCTATGGTATTATTATTTTATAAGATATAAATAAATAAGCACATGTCAAGCTACCAAGACCAGCTGGCCTACTGCTGGTCGTGAAGCCTCATACTCCCCAGTAGAAAGGGTGCTCACCTGTGTCCTTCACTTGCCAAGGAATGACTCTGGGCTGGGTGTGGTGGCTCCCAGCACTTTGGGAGGCCAAGGTGGGTGGATCGCTTGAGGCCAGGAGTTTGAGATCTGCCTGGCCAAAATGGTGAAACTCTGTCTATACTAAAAATACAAAAATCAGCTGGGCGCGGTGGTGCATGCCTGTAATCCCAGCTACTCAGGAGGCTGAAGCAGGAGAATTGCTTGAATCAGGAGGCAGAGATTGCAGTGAGCCGAGATCGTGCCATTGCACTCCAGCCTGGGTGACAGAGTGAAACACAGTCTTGAAAAAAAAAAAAAAAAGTGACTCCAAATCACCTGGTGACTGACCAGACTAGAGCCAGGTTTTGTGGGCATAAAGCTTATCAATTTGGGGAAACCCCTTTAAGGAAAAGAATGTGCATACATGGCTTGGGCCTCTCCAGGGTCTTGGAAAGAGCCCATGCAAGTGGGGACCCTAAAGGTTCCTTTGCCTCTTTTAAACCACATTTGATTTTAGGTCCATGGCTCATATTCAGATAGTAATGAATGACTTCAGTTCTACTAGTGGTTAAAATACTGAAAGATGTCCATACCAATGGATAAACAGCTGCAGCCCATGTCCTCTGAGTGCCCTCGGCCAACCGAGACCCTCTGGCGCCTCTGCTGCATCCCCAGAACATTTCCATGGTACAGAAAATAAAGTGTTGGTCCCTGTCCTTGTAGGAGCTCTCTAGAACCCTGTCGTAGTTGTAAGGCCTGGGTCTGCTCTCATTGATGGGAATCTGGCCATACTGGTGATTACATATTCTGAATATCATGTCCACCAGGGCCGACCTCTGGCCCTCTCTTCTGCTGCCAAGCAGGCCCCCTATGGTCTGGCTTCTGACATGAGGTCCCAGTTCCAATCCCACTCCTCCTCCTGCTGACACCTTGCTCGGAGCTGACTTCTGAGTAGCCCCAGGTCTCAGAGCCATGTGGCAGATGCTGCCTGGGCCTGGCTACATGGCAGGACTGTGTTCCGCATCACCTCCACACACTTGATAGGTGCTGCTGGTTTCAGCTCACAGATATCAGGCCTTCCTGGCCTGCCCTGTTTCACTGCAATTAACTGGGCTACGCCTGACAGTGTGTCCTGATATGGCCTGGGAGGGACAGGGAGGAGCAAAGCACACCCTTCACCCTCTTCAAATGGCCCCCATCCCTGCTCCCCAACAGATGCAGCCACCAGCCCTTTCCTGTGCATTTTGTCCTCACCGGTGCCACATCTAGCCTGCACTCCCTGGCTGCCATGTGACCCCTTCCTCCGACCCCCATGCCCATGGTGCTTGCATCCCAGCCAGCAGCCAGGCAAAAAGCTCAGAGACAGAGAGCTACACTGAGGCTGAGGTGTCCAAATGAACTATTTCTTAAGGCCATCTGTTCCTCTCCTACTTCACCCTCCTTCGATTTAAAACAGAGTCTGAAGAGAGAAACACGTAAGGCAGAGTCTCTTTGGGGACCAGCTTTCACTTCAGTGTTCCATCCATTACACCACATAGAGACCCACTGGTTCCATCCAGACATAAGAACAGGTCCATCTCTGCGATCAGAGACTAATACAAGTAAAAACAATAGCTAACATTTTTTGAGTGCATAGCCTGAGCTGGACATTTTGCTAAGCACTGTGCAACCAGTTTCTTATTTTTTTTTTTTTCTCCAGGAGACAGATCATCATAGAATTTCAGATGCGTTAGGTTCCTGGGGTGGAGACTGCTAGCTATTAAGCCAACATTCATTTGCCCTTTCCGCCTTGGCAAGAGTGACCTGATTTAATTTGGGATGGCCATGTACCTAGATAAGGGTGTGTTATTTCCCAGACTCCTTTGCAGCTATGAGACTAAGTTCTAGCCAATGAGATTTAAGTGAAAGTGTTCAAGACTTAGGCTCTTTCAAGAGAGTGACATTGTTTCATCCCTTCCCCCTTCCTCCTTTCTGCTGCCTGGAATTCCCAGGTGTTGGCCGGAGTTCACACAGCCATAGTGGGCCCAGAATGGAAGCCATGTCTGGAAGAAGAGAAAGAAGAATATGGAGGCTTCATATTATAGCAGCTGAGAATAGGCTACCCATGGACTTCTTTAGTGTGAAATAATAAAAACTTGTATGTTTAGGCTACTGTAGTCAGTTACTTCTTCAGGCTGAACAAAATTCCTAACCATTGCATGCAAAAGAATAACGTTAGACCCTTAACTAACACCATATACAAAAAATAATTCAAAATGGATCCAACATAAGGAGAAGAGCTAGCTAAAACTATGAAACTCTCAGAAGAGCCTGGGCATGGTGGCTCATGCCTGTAATCTCAGCACTTTGGGAGGCTGAGACCGGAAGATTGTTTGAGCTCAGGAGTTTGAGACCAACTTGGACAACATAAGGAGACCCCCATCTCTATAAAAAAATAAAAACTGGCCAAGTGTGGTGGCTCACACCTGAAATCCCAGCACTTTGGGAGGCCAAGGCAGGCAGACGCTTGAGGTTAGGAGTTCAAGACCAGCTTGACCAACATGGTAAAACCCTGTCTCTACTAAAAATACAAAAATTAGCTAGGTGTAGTGGTGCATGCCAGTAATTCCAGCTACTCAGGAGGCTGAGGTAGGAGAATCACTTGAACCCAGGAGGCCAAGGTTGTAGTGAGCCAAAATTGCTCCATTGCACTCCAACCTGGGTGACAGTGTGAGACTCTGTCTCAAAAAAAAGATTAAAATGGCACATTTTATTATATTAACCAGGATTTCCTAGAGAAACAGAACTAATAGGAGCTATGAGAGACTTGTAAGAATTAACTAGCTCCCACATCCCTTTCCTATACTCTTCTAGGGTCTTGTCAAGAAAAAAAAATTTATATATATATATATATATATATAAATTACATAAAAATTTATATATATATATATAAATTATATAAAAATTTATATAAAATTATATAAAAATATATATAATTTACTATAAGAAATTGGCTCATATGATTATAGAGGCTGAGAAGTCCCAATCCCATTTGCGTCCAGCAAGCTGGACACTCAGGAGTGCTGATGGCATAGTTCCAGTCTGAATCTGAGGCCGAAGGTGGAAGAAATTGATGTTTCAGCTTGGGGACGATCAGGTAGAGAGAGCAAACTTTCCCCTAATCAGTTTTTTATTCTATTTAGTCTTCAAGGGATTGGATGAGATCATATTAGGGCAGGCAATCTGCTTTACTCAGTCTACTGATTCGAATGTTAATCTTCTCCAGAAACACCCTCACAGACACATCCAGAATAGTGTTTAACCAAATATCTGTGCACCCTGTAGCCCAGGCAAGTTGATATATAAAATTAACCCTCACACTTATGTTATATGTATTTTGCCACACTCAAAAATATAAAAGGCAAAAGAAACAAAGAAATTAGAGAGTCCCACTTCCTTGTTGATGGATGAGCTGGGAAATGATTTGTGCTGAGTCATACAACTACTGGAGTAACCAGAAGAACCAAACCTGGGTGTCCCTGACTTGGTCCTAAGACCTGCCCCACAGCCCTTTGTTTCGTGGAGCACTTTCCATCACGTACTCAGCCTCTGCATCTTAGAAACCTTTTAATCTTTTGATTACCCACTTGAGGTTTCTACCTGGAGGCTGAACAGTTCTCTCTTCTGCAAGGGTGGGAATATCAGGGTCTGAGGTCCAGCCTCAGCCCTATCTATAGGGAGGTGAAAGTCAGGACATCTTCTCAGTAAGGAAGGTAGCTGCCTTTTCTTTCATGGAGATAAGGGATTATGTAGGCTCACTGCCCATGAAAGGAATGGTCTCCCTTTTCTTCTCCAGGGCTGGTCCTGCGGTCAGAATGTCCCCCATCCTCATCCTCACCCCACACATTGAGCATGACCACCAGCTGCTGGGATCTCCTGGGTATTTGGCCTCTCAAACCAGATTATAAATGCCCTGAGAGCAGGGATCACAACTTCTTTGCCAATGTTATTCTCCCTCACCCCACCCCAGCATCTGCCAAGCATCTCACTCAGGGATCAGCACTCAGTAACCTGGACAGTTCAGGAAACTTTCACAGATTGCTTCATACTCCCAAGCTCACAAATCTTATCAGAACGTGTACCTTAGAAATCTGTCTAATTGCTTTTCAGGTAACTGCAGAGATCCTGAAATGCCAAATCTGGGGAGAGGTAGTAAAGGAGGACTTGTGTGAAGCCTGGGAGTGGACAGGAGGGTATGTGCAGGGTCCGAGCTGCAGAGAATGAAGGCTGTCACAGGCCTCCGAAAATGGGCATGAAAGCCTGGTGAGGTGGTCCTGGAAGCTGTCACCTGGGGACAGAGCCAAATGCCAGGGAAGGTCTAAGGAGGGATGATGCCCATCTCCATACCCAGGACTGCTTCGGGTAGATTGCCCTCAATCTTGTCCTGAGCTTTTCTGCATATCCAAGGCCAGAAGATGATCGTAAGATGACAAGAATGAGGGCTTATGGGGCATTGGCCAGTGGTCACCTGCCCCATCACCCTCAGTTTTGATCACAGCCAGGCAATCTTTGTTTTCAATCCCATTCCTGCCCAGTACTAAGCCTCTGAGCTAGAATCCGGATCCAACTCCAGATAGAGACCTGTTTGGAGACTTGAAAAAGTTAACCAGCTCCATTGGCTGGGTGGTGGCTCATGACTGTAATCCCAGCACTTTGGGAGGCCGAGGTGGGAAGATTGCTTGAGCCCAGGAGTTGGAGAACAGACTAGGCAACATGACAAAACCCTATCTCCATAAAAAATAAAAAAATTAGCCGGGCATGATGGCATGCACTTGTAGTCCCAGCTACTTGGGAGACTGAGGTAGGAGGGTCTCTTGATCCTGGGAGGTTGAGGCTGCAGTCAACTATAATTGCACCACTGCTCTCCAGTTTGGGTGACAGAGTAAGACTCTGTTTAAAAACAAAAGAAGAAGAAGGAGAAGAAGAAGAATAGAAGAGAAAAAATATTAACCAGCTCCTACAGTCCCTTCTAAGATTTTGTCAAGAAAACTTGTAGAAGACTTTGAAATGGGCAAGGATTCCTGGGGGTTCTTTCAACAATGCCAGGCATTGTCCAGAGCAGAGGACCCTTCCTGGGTTGTCCGATTCTACAGGGATCTGTGCCTTTTATTGTCTTCGATGATGTGGCATCTCTGTAGAGACAGAAGTTAACTTATGGTAGGCTGATGTCGAAACATAAGACTCCTATTGATAGGAAATGAAGATGCCTGTTTTGTATCTATTAGTAAATTCCCTTTAACATCCCTGATTGCCTCTGTATGTGTGTTTCCTGGATTTTTCTGTGAACTGGTTGTAACATCTTACTGGTTCCCTCATTAATTAATGAGTTGAACTGAGTCACTGACGTGCTCATTTTATATTTTTATTTTTAAAATCTGGCTCATGCCTGTAATCCCAGCACTTTGGGAGGCCGAGGCGGGTGGTTCACGAGGTCAAGAGATGGAGACCATCCTGGTCAACATGGTGAAACCCCGTCACTACTAAAAATACAAAAAATTAGCTGGGCACGGTGGTGCGTGCCTGTAATCCCAGCTACTCAGGAGGCTGAGGCAGGAGAATTGCCTGAACCCAGGAGGCGGAGGTTGCAGTGAGCCGAGATCACGCCATTGCACTCCAGCCTGGGTAACAAGAGCGAAACTCCGTCTCAAAAAAAAAAAAAAATTTGTTTTTGAAACAGTCTCACTTTGTCACCCAGGCTGGAGTGCAGTGGCACCATCACGACTCACTGCAGCCTCAACTTCACAAGCTCAGTCAATCCTCCCACCTTAGCTTCCCACGTAGCTAGTAGCTGGGACTACAGGTGCGTGCCACCATGCCTGGATAATATTTGTATTTTTTGTAGAGATAGGGTTTTGCTAGGTTTCCTAGGCTGGTCTTTAACTCCCAGGCTCAAGCAATCCTCCTGCCCCTGCCTCCCAAAGTGCTGGGATTAGTGTTATGAGCCACCATGCCTAGACTTGTTTTATATTTGCATAAGAGTTATAATTTTACCTTTTAAAAATTGCCCTTTAACAGTTTCAAATATGGGTCTTGTGCTTAAGTTGAAGGAATAGAGAAAGGAAGGAAAGGAGGAGAAAAGTGGAACTTGGCAAGTGGAAGGAGAAGTGGGAAAGGAGGAAAGAAAAGAAAGGAAAAACCAAAAGAAGGATCAGAGAGGCAAGGATAGGCTGGGGGAAAAGGGGAGGGGAGTGAAGAGCAAAATAACAAGGGAGGGAGCCAGAGAAAAGAGAGTTACATACAGGCTGGACACAATGATGCAAGCCTGTAATCCCAGTACTTCGGGAGGCTGAGGTGGGTGGATCACTTAATGCCAGGAATTTGAGACCAGCTTGGCCAACATGGTAAAACCCTGTCTCCACTAAAATTCCAAAATTAGGTCGGGCACAGTGGCTCACAACTATAATCCCAGCATTTTGGGAGGCCGAGGCAGGTGGATCACCTGAGGTCAGGAGTTCAAGACCAGCTTGGTCAACATCATGAAACCTTGTCTCTACTAAAAATACAAAAAGAAATTTAGCCAGGCATGGTAGTACTTGCCTGTAAATCTAGCTACTCAGGAGGTGGAAACAGGAGAATTGCTTGAACCCAGGAGGCAGAGTTTGCAATAAGCCAAGATTGCACCACTGCTCTCCAGCCTGGAAGACAGAGTGAGACTCTATCTAAAAAAAAAAAAAAAAAAAAAAGGATTAGCCGGGTATGCTGTCCTGTGCCTGTAGTCCCAGCTACTCTGAAGGCTGAGGCATGAGAACTGCTTGAACCCAGGAGGCGGAGGCTGCAGTGAGCTGAGATCATGCCACTGCACTCCAGCCTGGGTGACAAAACAAGACTCTGTCTAAAAAAAAAAAAGAAACCCTATATACAAATACTCTCTCTGCTTGAAGGAAAGTCTTTATTTTGAATCAGCTATGAGAGGTCCTCTCCATCCTTCAGTCTGAAAGGGAAATTATTTTCTGCCTCTGTTGTTTCCCAGGTCACCAGTTATATTAAGCCAAGATCCCTTGGTAGTTTCTGTCTGTAATTTTTCCACTCCCCATCCTTTTGAGTCAGATTGCAAAATAAGGACATTTTGAAACAAATTCTTCATGATCAAGGCGGTAGACATGTGACTAGGGACTCTTTCAGGCCCTGTGGAGCTGGGCAGGGTCCTTATTGAGGGCCCTGTTTAAATCAGCAACAGGAAGGGAAGCAGAACCACCAGGCTGCTGCCACAGGTGCTCTGACCCCAGCCTGCCCACTTGGGGAGGCTACACAACATTCCCTGGCCTTTGCCAGGCAGGACAGGGTGGCTCCTACAGTGCCATCACCTGGGTTAGAAGTAGATTCTTTGCCCTGCAATGTCCCCACTGGCCTGACATAGATCTGAAATTTAGAGAGCCGGTTGTCATAGTTCTCACATGCCCCTTCATCATGTGACTGCAACCTATCTTTCCAAATGACCTCCTGCTACACCTGCCACACCTGTCCCACAGACAGTGCTCCAAACAGGCCAGTGGACTCACCACCTCCTGAACATGTCAAATATGTTCACACCTGAGCCTTTGCTCTGGTTGTTCTCTCTGCTTGGGATGCCTTTTCCTTTCCTTCTCTACCGGATGACATCATACTCATGCTTTCCTCTCATTTCCAGGCAGAGTGAATTATTTCCTCCCTTGAGCCTTCATGTGTACTTTATATACATCTGTATTTAGACACAACACTCATCGCTCTGGTTTGTAATTACTTGCCTGTCCGCCAGTCAGTTCTTCAAGGGCAAGAGCCCAGGCTTATTATGCATGGCCTGTCCTGGGACTTGGCTTAGTGCCTGGCACATTCAGTCATTTCACAAATTTATTGAGCACTGACTATGAGCCAGGCTGTTTTCTAGGTGCTGAGTGGTGAACAAAACTGATAAAGTTCTCCATTCTCAGGGTGCTTACATTCTGACTGGGGAGGCAGACGACATACAAATAAAAGAAAATAACCAATAGTTAGGGACTAACAGGTGCTAGAGGAAAATCAAGGGAGCTAAGCACCCAGAGAACGATGGAGAGAGTATTGTTTTAGGCAGGATGGTCAGAGAAAGCCTCTCTGATAAGGTGGCATTTACTTTTTTCTTTTCTTGAGATGGGGTCTCACTATGTTGCCCAAGCTGGTCTTGAACTCCTGGGCTCTGGCAGTCCTCCTGCCTTGGCCTCCTGAAGTGTTGGGATTACAGGTATGAGTCATGGTGCTCAGCCATGGTAGCATTTAAATAAAGGCCTGGGGAAGGTGAGGGAGCAGGTGGGTCATGGGGCTATCTGGGGAAGTGGCCTTCCAGGCAGAGGGAACAGTGAGTGTAAAAGCCCCGAGGTGGAAGTGTGTCTGGTGTGCCTCAGGAAAGGCATGGGGCCAATAAGGCCGAGGGAACTGAGTAGCAGGAACAGCAATAAAAGATCAGCTCCAAGTGCTTAGGGCCAGGCAGGCCAAAGTGGGAGGCTCAGCTTTTACTCCAAGTGGCATGGGGAACCATCACAGGGATCTGACCAGAGACCATCTAACTTAAGTTTTAGAGCATTCACAATCTTATGGGGCCTCCTGGCTACTCTCTGGAAAAAGACTTTCTATGGTGGGTGTTCACAAAGGCCATCAGTAATGTGGGGCCAAGGCAAGCAACCCTTGGGGACAGTGTGTTGACCTTGACAACAGGAAATGGGCGAGTCTGCCTCCTTTACTCTATGTTCCCCTTCTCCTTTTCCCTTAGAGAAGTGTCCCAGCTCGGATCACTTGAAATCAGGAATTTGAGACCAGCCTGGTCAACATGGTGAAACCCCATCTCTACTAAAAATACAAAAATTAGCCAGGCATGGTGGTGCATGCCTGTAGTCCCAGCTACTTGGGAGGCTGAGGCAGGAGAATAGCTTGAACCTGGAAGACAGGCATTGCAGTGAGCCAAGGTCATGCCACTGCACTCCAGCCTGGGCGACAGAGCGAGATTACATCATACACACACACACACACAAATCAGGAGTTCAAGAAGTGTCCCAGCTGATGGGGGCTTTCTGTCCCGGGTACTGAATGAGCCTGGACTCTGGCGATATCACACAAATCTCATGGGAAATAAACAGAGAACCCTGGCCTGTAACAGGAGTTCACCTCCAAAAGTCAAGGCAGACTTCCTGGAAGAGCAAGGCTAAGTTATCTGGGGATTAATAAAAGGCAAACCACTGCAGGAGAAACCAGCCTTCTGCCACCCTGGCAGTCGGACAGCATGACTGTTGGCACTAGGTCACCTTCAGAACGGCCTTGGCAAATGAGAGCTAATAAAAGCCTGGCTTGGGGATGGAATGAATGATTTAGACTACCCATCCCCTCCAGGCTCTCTCTTAGGCACATCTGGTAAATCCTCACCGTAATAACCAATAAAAGTTGAAAACATCACCTCTCTACTCCTCCAAAGAAGGGAATGTCTAATGGTGGAATTGTAGGCACTAGGTAATGCTGGCTCCTAAATGCCCTTGGGGAGGAGACTTCCGAGAGTGCCTCTATTCCCATTACAAAAAAAGGCTCCCATTCCCACCTGCCTTCTCCCAGGGAGGCTTGCGGTGACCACGACTGGTGCAAAAGGGCTCGAGCTGTCGCGGGCGTCGAGGGTTCCTGGCCCTCCCAGGGCCTGGGTCCCAGTGCGCAGGTGGGCGGCGCCGCGTGCAGTGGAGGCTGGCGACCGGCAGAGGGCGCAGCGGAGCCTCCAGGCTCCTCGTGCTCTTTCCCGGCTACCTCGCTGCCCCACCGCCCCGTCCGCCGCGTTCGCGGAGCCGCGGGGCTTATGTGAACGCCGTCAGGGAGGCCTTCCTAGGCCACTCCTCAACCATCATCTGCTGCCGTCCCTGGCCGCGGCCTCAGCCCCATTTCCGGTCAATTTGGTCCCCCGCCCACAGGCCGTCCGGATCTCGCCACACCCTCTGCAGGCCACACCCACCCTTCCTTTCCTTCCAGGTGTGGCCAGTCGGGGAGGGTGGTGGCTAGGGCTGTGCGGGGCATGGTGTGGAGGACATGGGCCGGGATCCTAGGTGTGGAGGACATGGGCCGGGATCCTAGGCGTGAAGATCCTAGGACTGCCAGAGTTCAGGAGTTCAAGACCTCCTGGGTTTTGTATAAGGAAGCTGCTAGTGAGAAGCGGTAGCTGATTTCACCCCCAGCCATTGCCTTAGGCCTCGGCGCTAAAATGGGGGCTTAGAGTACAATCCAGGGCCCCTGGGGAAGGTGGGAAGGCTTCTGCCCTGTTTACTTCGGCAGGGTCTGGCTGGTGATAGGGTCCAATCATTATTTGCATGGATTAATTAAAGAAATGGAGGCCTGGCACGGTGGCTCATGCCTGTAATCCCAGCACTTTGGGAGGCCGAGGTGGGTGGATCACGAGGTCAAGAGTTCAAGATCACCCTGGTGAAACCCTGTCTCTACTGAAAAGACAACAATTAGCCTGGCGCGTTGGTCTACGCCTGTAGTCCCAGCTACTCGGGAGGCTGAGGCAGGAAAATCGCTTGAACCTGGAAGGCGGAGGTTGCAGTGAGCCAAGATCACACCACTGCACTCCAGCCTGGGTGACACAGCGAGCCACTCCGTCTCAAAAAATAAAAAAAGAAAAGAAAGCAAGAAAAAAATGGAAAGTAGTCCAGGCAGAGTGGCCCGTGCCTGCAATGCCACCACTTTGGGAAGCTGAGGCTGGGAATTGGAGCCCATCCTGGGCAATGCAGGCAGTCCCCATTGCTAAAAAGAAAAAGAAATGGAAAGTAATCGAGGGATCTGTTTGTCCGTTTGCCCAAAATCCAAACTCTGGCCAGCCCTGACACGTCCCAGCGGGCCAGCGGGCTTTGCCATGCTCCCGTTGCTATTATACTTACCTGGAGCCCTCTCCCTCCATCTTCCCACACCTCACAGTTTCCTTTCACTTCCTGCCACTGTTCAAACACCCTTGTTAGTACTTGATCCAAATCTGTTATCCTAGCATTCAAAGCTCTGCATGGTGTTGCCCCACCCTCCTGAAAATATGCCACCCTACTGAAAATATGCCACCTGGGCACAAGGATTATTGTGAGCCGAAGGCAACTGAGAAGAAGCAGAGACAAGAAAAGCTCTGTGCCCTCCCGCTATTTGCCTAAAACCAGGATATGAATTTTCAAGGGTGTCCCTCCTCCCCTCTCAACCAGGAAGGACAAAGGTTGATCACAGAAGACAACCTTAGACCCTTATCGGCACCAGAGGAATCTACATAAAAACTTGGCTAACTAGCCTTTAGCTACCATTATTTTGTTCAGTTATTTGTCTTCCCACAATTTGCCATCCCTAGAGACTCAAGGTCCTTTGCTTTTGTCTTGTCACTTCTCTAAAATTGTATTTGTTGTTGTTGAAGATGCTATATAAGAGTTCTAAGTCACCTATTTAAGGTTTTCAAATTTTCCCTGAATCTCTCTCTCTCTCTCTCTCTTTTTTTTAATATACAGACGGGGTTTTACCATGTTGGCCAGGATGGTCTCCATCTCTTGACATTGTGATCCACCTGCCTCGGCCTCCCAAAGTACTGGGATTACAAGCGTGAGTCACCACATCCAGCCTCCCTGAATATTTTTCATGTGTACATGTTAGTAAACTTGTTTTTTTTTTTTTTGAGACAGTCTCACTCTTGTCGCCCAGGCTGGAATGCAGTGGTGTGACCTCAGCTTGCTGCAACTAATCGCTCCTGGGTTCCAGCGATTCTCTTGCCTCAGCCTCCCGAGTAGCTGGGATTACAGGCATGTGCCACCATGCCCAGCTAATTTTTGTATTTTTAGTAGAGATCGAGTTTCACCATGTTGGCCAGGCTGGTCTTGAACTCCTGACCTCAGGTGATCCACCCACCTCAGCCTCCTAAAGTGCTGGGATTACAGCCATGAGCCACCACACTCAGCTCTGTTTGTTTTTCTCTTGTTAATCTGTCTTCTTTTATAGGGGTCCCAGCTAAGGACTCAGAAGGGTACAGGGAAAATGATATTTCCTCCCCACGTTATCTTACAGTACATGGCGCACTCTTCCACTGCTCCGCTAAATTGACTGAAGGAAACATAACTTGAACCGGCTTTCCTCTGGCGAGCCGCCCATCCCCTTTTTCCCTATCAAGAACACCTCCCTTGACCCTGCCTCCAAATCTTTCTCTTCCTTCAAGGCCAGCCTTCAGGAAGAGAATCCCATTCAGTCCCTTCAGGAAGCATTTCCTGACTTTTTCAGCCCATAATGAGTTTTCCCAGTTCTGAATGTGGCAGTCACTCCTTGACCCTTTTTTTTTTTTCGGTTCCAGTTATTCTATCGGGCTTTGTCCTATGGTACTTGGGTACCTGCTTTTTCTCTCCAGCTAAATTGTAATAATTTGGAAGGTAGGGTCCAAGTCTTACTAACCTTTCTCTCTCCCCCTTCAGTTCATCACACATTTATTGAGCATCTACTACACATCAGGTATAAAGTTTAGTACATAAGGTCCCAAAGGAGTGTAGGACACAGCCCCCACAATGGAGTTCTGGGGAAAAGAAAACACATGGGGAGTGAGAAAAAGTAGAGAATGTGGGTCCCCCCTGGAGCACTCACCAGAAAAGTCTCAAATGACTTCCTGTGGGAGCACTCAGCATCCTGAATGAGGAAGCAGTCTCATTCCCTGAGGGAGTGGCAGCGCATTCATGAAGCCATTCACTCACCTATTCCCTCATTCATTCATTCATTTGATAAATATTTGTTGAGTCCTCACTTTATCCAAGTGACTCATGAGATGGGTCACACTGCAGCCCAGGGCTGGTGTGCGGTGGGGGTGGTGGGGGACACCAGAAGCCCAGAAAGCTTTTAGGGTGAGTGGCTCCTTTGTCGGTTCCTGTTCAGAGGCGTAAGTCCCTGCTGAGAATGGTCTTGGGAAAGATGGGGTGGGCGTGGCAAGGGCCAGAAAGCCTGGAGTTTCACGGAGGAAAGGAGGCTATCAGCCCTCCCTGAGGGCAGGGTGCCAAACCCTGCCCCTGGTTCCCTTTGGAAAGCGCGCTCTGCCAAAGAGCAGGTTCCCTTTAAAGTCCTTTCCTTCTGTGATTATTTGGGGCTTTTCAAACAGCTCTGTGAGGCATTAGGTCCATATACTAGACAGGAAGGCTAAGGCTAGGAGATTTATGATTTCCCCCAGAGGCGTTGGGCTTCCTCAGGCCAGGGCTTAGGCCTGGTCTTCCCAGTTTCGTTGTAGAGGACTATGTCCTTGACACCTTTGAACCTGTATGCCAGACTTTACACCTGGTATGTAGTAGATACTCAGCCTGCCCTCTCGGCAGGAACCAGTCAGAGGAGAGGAATCTCTGGCTTCACATACTGAAGGAGGCAGGCCTCTGGAACAGAACACTACATTTCAGACCAAAGTGATGGCCTTCATCATGTCTAGCCACTAGCAGCTCTCTGGCTCTCACTGAGAAATTAAATGATAACTAATTACCAAATCTTAACTCCAACTGACTTCCAAACTCTACTTATTTATTTATTATTTTATAACAATATAAATAGAGAGAGGGTTTTTCCATGTTTCCCAGGCTGAGTCTCAAACTCCTGAACTCAAGTGATCTGCACTCACTCCCCCAGCCTCCCAAAGTGCTAGGATTACAGGGGTGAGCCGCCGTGCCCTCCATTTTTTTTTTTTTTTTTTGAGACACCGTTTTGCTTCACCCAGGCTTCAGTGCAACGGTGCCTCATTGCAGCCGTGATCTCCTGGGCTCAAGGAATCCTCCCATCTTTGTTTGAGCTGGGACTACAGCTTTGTGCTCAGCCCATTTTTATTTTTTTTTTGTAGAGACAGTGTCTTGCCATGTTGCCCATACCGTTCTAGAACTCCTTGTATTTTTTTTCCCCCTGAAATGGAGTCTGGCTCTGTTGACCAGGCTGGAGTGCAGTGTCGTGATCTTAGCCCATTGCAACCTCCGCCTCTTATGTTCAAGCAATTCTCCTGCCTCAGCCTCCTAAGTAGCTGGGATAACAGGCATGCACCACCACGCCCGGCTAATTTTGTATTCTTATTAGAGACAGGGCTTCACCATGTTGGCCAGGCTGGTCTTGAACTCTGGCCTCATGATCCACCTGCATCGGCCTCCCAAAGTGCTGGGATTACAGGTGTGAACCACTGGGCTGCAAATTCTATTTCGAATGTCCAAATTCGAACCCCTCCTTTAAATCACTCACTCCCTTATTCTAATAGGAATATATCACTCTACCGGTAAGGGAAACTCGGCCTCTCTCGAATCCTCATAGGCTGCAGTGGGTCCAAGCATCCTGGGGCAAGGAGAAGGTCCAAAATAAGGGTTGCATGCAGGCCAGGGAGGAGCTGGTGACACCATGAATTTGTCTTCATTATGAAAGTGGCCCCTTTCTCTCCCCAGGTACTTAAGCCATCATGTTATCCCCAGGATCTCCTGGAAGGAGGGGAAAAAACATAGTGTTAACCCTTCTAGATATTTTCTATGGAGGTCAAAAACAGGCAGGCGAGGCTTAGAAGAGATGAAGCATTAGTAGAAGGAGTCCTGGTATTCAGGCATGAATCAGATATAATCCCTGCCCCGAGGTGGATTGCTATCTAGAGGCAACTGATTGTTTTTTTTTTTTTTTGTGATGGAGTTTCACTCTTGTTGCCCAGGTTGGAGTGCAATGGCGCGATCTCAGCTCACTGCACCCTCTGCCTCCCAGGTTCCAGCGATTCTCCTGCCTCAGCCTCCTGAGTAGCTGGGATTATAGGCATGCACCACCACATCTGGCTAATTTTTATTTTTGTATTTAGTAGAGATGAGGTTTCTCCATGTTGGTCAGGCTGGTCTTGAACTCCTGACCTCAGATGATCCACCTGCCTCTGCCTCCCACAGTGCTGGGATTACAGGTAGGAGCCACTGCGCCCAGCCATTGATTTTTTTTTTTTTTTAATGAATGCTTGCAATGAGTTAAGTACCTGTGTTAAGTACTTTTCCATGTTATATTTTATTTAATTGCTACAATCCTGTGGAAAAGGAACTATTATCCCATTTTGCAGATGAAAGAACTGAGGCTCAGCACTAGTAAAGGGCAAAGCCAGAGACTGAAAGCCTTCTAAGTCCCCTTCCCTGCATGGGCTCCGGGTTGGGCAGGGGAGAGAAGTGTTCCAGTAACCCTGGAGCCTGTTTCTGACTCATGCCACCTCCGGGACCACCTAGGCCCAAGCTGCACATTGTAGAGCCAGGAGATGGGTCCAGATTCTCTCCTAGGCTCCACCCACCTCAGATAGGCTGAGCCTATTAGATTGCAGGCCCTGCAGGCAGAGCTGTTAGAATGGGCACACCTGGCGTCAGTGGTCGGGGCCTGGACCCCAGGAGTCCCGTTGTTTGGTTACTGCTCTTTCCCCTGGTGTCTCATTCTTGTAGACCACCAGGTTCCAGGCCACTGGAGAGCTTCCTGTCGATGTTGCAACCAGTCTTTCTTTCTCCACAAAGTACAAAGCCCTGCCTTAAAGGAAGCAGTTCTGCTTCTATTTTATGATTATTGTAAAATAATGCTATTTGGTTAACAGGTTATGTCAGGCAACTACTCTATACCCGGCCTTGTGGGGAGGAATGACCCTGCCCTTAAGGTGCATACAATGTGGTCATAAAATATATGAACTAATGAGTCGGGCATAATAATAACAATAATAATAATAGATGACATCTATAGAGAACTAACTGCATACCTGTGCTGCAGCTTTCAACAGGATTATCTCATTTAATGCAGAATAACAGCACACATCACTGTGATTTTCTCCTGCAGTATGGGACAGGTGGAAGAGCCAGGGAAATGGGATCGGAAGAACTTTCATTCAAATTTAAATCTTGTCCAATACTAGCTGTATAATGCTTGGAAGGAACTTGGAAGTTACTTAACCAGTCTGAACCTCAGCTTCCCTAGCTGCAAAATGGGAAATATTTTCTACCCCTAGGTAAAGAGTCACCTGTGAGTCCTCCAGGGACTCTTTCCTTTGACACACATTCTTGTCAACGGCACATTTCTCCTGGGGCCTCTGAATCTTCCAGAGAAAATTCCTGGTAGAGGTGTTAGTCCCTCCCATTCTCAGACTCCATCTACACAGGTGAGCCCCAAGGGTTGAGCACCAGGACAAAGCCTCCCACCAGTATAGGCAGACTCAGTGCATGTTGATGGGAAAGCTTCACAGATGGAGCAGTGATTGAACCTCCTCTGTCAACCTACCCCACCAACTCCATCCCACCCAGCCCAGAACAGCTGTCCACTTAGGTTCCTTCCCACCCACCTAGACTCCTCCCATCTCTTCCTCCAGACTTGCTCAACGCATGGATGAGAACCCTGCAGGATCCTCGCAGAGAGTGGGAAGAGCTCTACAGATTGAGTGTCAGGATCATCGGGTGAGAAAACTTGTGTTTAGTAAAGCTGGCCCTCAAATTTGTTAATATGCAGCTAAATTTATTCTGAGCAAAAGTCAAAGGAGTGGGCAAAGTTGATGTGCAAGCATATTCATTCACTTAAGAGCTATTTAGGATTGCAAAATAATGAAAACAAGCTAAATGTCCAACAACAGGGGGTCCACTGAGGGAAGCTGTGGCTTTCTCTACTCTGCAATATTAGGTAGCCATTACTAATTCTACTACAAAATAATATTTTCAGACCTGGGGAAATAACCATGATATATTGCATTGCTAACAGGTAAAAAGCTGGCCAGAATATTAAAGAAGTCCTCCAAGAAGAGGAGGCTAGGGCCTGCTGTTTGACTTTATTATTTAATTATTTTATTTATTTTTTGAGACAGAGTCTTGCTCTGTCGCCCAGGCTGGAGTGCAGTGGTGCGATCTCGGCTCACTGCAACCTCTGCCTCCCGGGTTCAAGCGATTCTCATGCCTCAGCCTCCCGAGTAGCTGAGATTACAGGCATCTGCCACCACACCCAGCTAATTTTTGTATTTTTAGTAGAGATAGGGTTTCACCACGGCCAGGCTGGTCTTGAACTCCTACATCGTGATCTGCCCACTCTGGCCTCCGAAAGCGCTGGGATTACAGGCGTGAGCCACCGCACCCAGCCACTCTTTGACTTTATCACCAGAGAAATTATGGCCTGGATTTGTTGGTTTGTTGAGCTATCTCTCAGACACCTATTAGAAGTGTCTTGTAAAAGATTCCAGAAACTGGTTCCAGAAACTGATTTCATTCTTCTTCTTTTCCCCTACTTTGTCTATTTATTTATTTATTTAGAGACAGGGTCTCACTTTGTTGCTAGGCTGGAATACAGTGGTATGTATGGTCATGGCTCACCATAGCCTCGACCTCCTGGGTTCAGGTGATTCTCCCACCTCAGCCACCGGAGTAGCTGGGACTACAGGTGTGTGCCACCACGCCTGGCTAACTTTTTTGTGTGTGTATTTTTTGTAGAGACAGGGTTTTACCATGTTGCCCAGGCTGGTCTTGATCTCCTGGGCTCAAGAGATCTATCTACCTCCTCCTCCCAAAATGCTGTGATTACAAGATTACCAGGCCTACCCTCCTACCTTTTTGTTTGTATATTTTTTTGGTAACCACAATCCTTGATGTTTCCTAAAATCCAGTAGAAGGATCTCATGAAAATTATGGAATTTCCTTTCAGGCTTAGCCACGGCTTTTGGAAACTGCTCCAGTTGGAGGAACCAACCACTGAGCTCATATTCTCCTTAATACTCCAAACACACATACACACACACACACACACACACACCCCTTGACTCAGTCACCACTGCACCCGGGAAGCCTTCCTTGACTCTCCCGACAGGCCGGTCTCCTCTCTGACGCATGCTTCCGGCACAATTCCCTTCCTTCTCCTTTGTTGCTTTTGTCATGGCTATTATTGTACATTTGTTTCTGCAATTATCTGATGAATGTCTTTCTGCATCTATGCTGTCTCCATCCATGATGACAGGGATCATGTCTGTTTATGCTTCCCGCTTTCTCTCTACCACTCAGCATGTTCTTGCCACAGACTCTCAATAAATGTTGATGCATGGATGATGAATGACAGATGAGATGGATGGATGGATGAGCCTGCAGGATATGACAGACAGGAGGGAGGAAAGGAATTACAACAGATATGCCTCCAAGGCAGAAGACAGCTTGGAATCAGGGCAGCCTCAATCTCTGCATAGTGGAGTAGGTGGCTGCTTGTAGTGCAATTTCAGGGTCACTAGGAAGACCCACTCCAGTGCGTGACAACCATTTTATAAAAGGAGATGAAGCCTTTTGTTTCCCAAAGTGTGCAGAGCTCAGACCTGAATCCCACACTCCTGGGAGTGCCAGAGGGGCTCACAGGCTTACATTAGTAGTGCTAAGGGGTGAATGACCCACTGAGGCTGCCCTAAGAGCAAAGTGTGATTAGGGGGAGGGGGCAGTGTGGAGGAGGAGGGGAGAGGGAATTGGGGAGCTAGGATGGAACCCACATGGGGGAAAGGACCCAGAAAAGACCAACCTTGACCTGCAGCGTGGTTTTGCCTCTGCTGCACACAGCCCATTTCTACTGGGAATTAACAACCTTTTTGGTAGATCTGGTTCTGCAAATATTTGACGTCTGGAAACCTTTCAACAAAGATGGCGTTCGGAAGCCTGGCTCGGAGGCCCCAGGATGACAACCTAATTACATTCCTTTTAATAGCTCCTTCCCAAGTGCTCAGTCAGGGACATCTGCTCTGCCGTGGTTGCACCTTCAGGGAGGAATATTTTTAACACTGTCATGCCACAAAAGGAAACTTCTGAAGGCTGGATGAAAATGGCCTCTGCGTTCCCAGAGCCTCAGGGCCCAGGTAGGGCCTCATCTTCTCCCCGACTCCTTTCAACACCGCCCCCCACAAAACAGGGCCAGGCTCCTTTCACAAGCAGAGGAGGTGGCTGGCTTACTAGGAAGTGGTCTTTTCCTAATCCTTTTTGTTTTCAGTCTTCACAGAGGTAAATTCAATGTGCCAGGCCATCTCAGCCTCACCCAGCCTTCTCTGTAAGCAGGTGTCTGAAATAACCACCCAGAGCACAGCACAGCAGAGCCACTGGCACCAGCCTTGCACCACTGGGCCCCCATCAGTCAGGGTGCTCTTCTCTTGGCTGCTTCTACCCATTTACTGGACCTACCCCCACAGCCCAGCTGGGGGTCCCTACCCTGACCCTTGTTATGGCAGAAGCCCCTGGGATCAACAAGGAAGGTGCAAGGAGCTGAGGGGTAATCCACCCCACATCTTCTCCCCACTTTCTGCAGGCAAGTTACCTGAGGCCTGGAAAGGCAGAGACTGGCTTAAGGAGTTAGCACCAATGCCGGGTTCACTCCCCTATTTTCAGCCAAAGAATGTGTTTGGGTAAGAACTCCTCTGTTCATCAGTTTATCAAGAACACATTGGTAGGCCCTTGATGGAAGAGTGACCTTGGCCGGGTGAGGTGGCCCACACCTGTAATCCAAGCACTTTGGGAGCCTGAGGCAGTCGGATCATGAGGTCAGGAGTTTGAGACCAGCCTGACCAACATGGTGAAACCCCATCTCTACTAAAAATGCAAAAATTAGGCTGGGCGCCGTGGCACACATCTGTAATCCCAGCTACTCAGGCGGCTGAGGCAGGAGAATAGCTTGAACCCAGGAGACTCCATCTTTAAAAAAAAGAAGAAGAAGAGTGACCTCTTTCTCTAGAAGCCTATTCCCTTGGACAGAGGAAGACCTTGGAGCAAGCGGCAGCACCTGAGCACCTGAACGGCTCTGGCCCCAGCACCTCTGGGCCTATGAGGAAGGAACCGCTGAGCATTGAGGGGGTGCTATGCCGTGTCTACACTAATGTGATTTTTAAGGATGGCTGTCTTTTTTCCATAAGAGGCTCTAGCACCTGAGAAGGGCACTGTGGAGCCTTTGTGCTTATGTTTCCTTCAAGTCCTTCCTGTACTTTTAGTGAAGACAGAAGTAGCAACATTTCCCTGCAAGTGCTTAGGAGCAAAGGGTGAAAGCTTTACCTGGCAGGGATCGGTCCACTGGTCATCAGCTGGGTGCTGTTCCTCTCACTGCACACATTGTCTTTGTTGCCTCTTCCCTTCAGCACTTCAGCTCTGTTTTTTTTTTTGTTTTTTTTTTTTTTTAAGACAGGGTGTTGCTCTGTCACCCTGGCTGGAGTGCAGTGGTGTGATGTCGGCTCACTACAACCTCTGTCTCCCAAGCTCAAGCTATTCTCATGCCTCAGCCTCTTGAGTAGCTGGGACTACAGGTGAGCACCATGAGGCCCGGCTAATTTTTGTATTTTTAGTAGAGATGGGTTTTTTTGCCATGTTGGCCAGGCTGGTCTTGAACTCCTGGCCTCAAGTGATCCACCTGCCTCGGCCTCCCTAAGTGCTGGGATTACAGGTGTGAGCCACTGTGCCCTGCCCCACTTCAGCTCTGATTTGACCATCATAAATGTCCCTGGTTCCCTCAACTCTGGACTTACGCCTCCGTGGATAACCAGCTGCCCATTCTTTGGGCCTTCCTTTGTTCAAATTCTGGAGAGAGGGAATCTGATGGCCTCAGTTTGCCTCTGGCTCCAGATGCCCTCTCTCTAGGGTGCCAGTGTCTGGATACAGTGGTCTTCAGGTAGGTGGACCTTCAGGGCCAATCCTTATCCACTTTGCATGATGGCGGGCCTGTGCTGCTTCCCTGAATGGGCTCTTGGGCCTGGTGGGCAGCCTACTGCTTGGCCTGGGCAGTACTCAGGGGTGCTGCAGCTTGCTGGAAAGACCAAGGAGGCAACACGGCTGGACAAAGGTGGGGCAAGACCTTTGTGATGTGGTCTAGCAGGCCCCCTTAAAACTGAAGGAACAAGTAAGTGCTCAGCAAACATCACGATGGAAAATTCTCAAGGGGTGTTGGGGGCAGGATGGGTGAGGAGGGAAATGCACTGTGTGGACAGCAAGGTTGGTGCCCATGGTGAACTTGACTTATTCACCTCGTCCACCAAGGCCATGACACAAGCATCAAATGCTGCCACTGCTGCTACTGCTACTATTCCTAGCCAACGCTTAGTCCACACCAGACACGATTCTGTTTGCCTTCCATTTATTAACTCATTTAATCCTTTCAACGCTCACTGAAGTAAGTACCATTCTCATTTTACCTATGAAAACATGGAGGCTCAGAGAGATTATGTAAAGCCAAGGAGTCACATAGCTAGTACACGGAGGAGCTGGGATTCAAACCCAGGAAGCATGTGCTTTTTTTTTTTTAGGCTGGGTCTCCCTCTGTTACCCAGGCTGGAGTGCAATGACACAATCATGGCTCACTGCAGCCCCAACTTCCTGGGCTCAGGTGATCCTCCCACCTCAGCTTCCTAAGTAGCTGGGACTACAGGCACACACCACCACGCTGGCTAATTTTTGAGAATTTTTTGTAGAGAGGGAGTTTTGCCATGTCACCCAGGCAGGTCTTGAACTAGCATCAAGTGATCCACCTGCCTTGGTCTCCCAAAGTACTGGGATTACAGGCCTAAGCTACTGTACCTGGCCAGCTTGTGCTCTTAATTGCTATGCTGATAGCAAAACCCCCTGATTAATTACCCCCTGATAGAAGCAAGTGACCACCTTCGCCATGCTGTTTGAGGAGCGACAGGCAGTCCTAACTGCCTCAGAATTTCTCCCCTCAGCTCAGCTCTGTCATGCTTGTCACCTTTCTTAGGGTTCAGAAATTCCTGCTGTCAGTCACTAATATAGTGGAAGATAGGGTGACCTCTGGAGAACGCTTTGCCTTCTCCCATTAGACGTTTAGCGCTAAGCTGCTGTAAATGAGCAGGGTACATTTCCTCTTAGGAGGAAGCGAGTTATCAGAGGCTGGGGGTTGAAGGAAGTAACAGGTGATCTGGGTTAACCTTGTAATAAGCCATTAATACTTAGCTTAATTTGAGAAGTCTCAGGGAAGAAACTCACCACCCCAATACCTATCATTCCACCATTGTAGTTTTGACAGCAGTGCTGACCCATAGAATTTTCTGATGAGGAAAATGTTCTGTATCTGCACTGTCCAGTTCAGCAGCCACCAGCCACATGTGGCTATTGAGCACTTGAAATTTGACTGGTGTAATTGAAGAACTAAACTTTACATGTTAACGAATCCAATTTTATTTTTGAGATGGAGTCTTGCTCTGTTTCCCAGGCTGAAGTACAGTTGCATAATCTCAGCTCACTGCAACTTCTGCTTCCCAGGTTCAAGCAATTCTCCTGCCTCAGCCTCCTGAGTGGCTGGGATTGCAGAGATACGTCACCACTCTTGGCTAATTTTGTGCATTTTTAGTAGAGATGAGGTTTCACCTATGTTGGTCAGGCTGGTCTCGAACTCGTGACCTCAAATGATCGTCCCACCTCAGCCTCCCAAAGTGCTGGCATTATAGGCATGAGTCACCATGCCCCACCATGAATCCAATTTTAAATGAAAATTGCCACATCTGGCTAGTGGCAATATAATGGACAGGGCAGTTTTTGAGGCCTCCCTTAGAATATACATCCTGCTGGGAGGATCATACCTTTGGCAATTATCTGCCAAAACCTTAGTTCAGGTAGTGCAGGCTAAGGTCGAAGCTGCCAGGCAGGTGCCTTTCATCTGGCCAGTGTGGGGGCTGAGGAGCTCTAAGCCTGAATGCCTTCAGGCAGGGCAGGCGCTGTCCAGTCTCCATACCCCCTTGTTTTACTCCAGGGCTGTCATACATTTTGTCACCTCTGAAGGCAATCCCTTAGTAAAGCCCTTCAATCATCTTCAACCTTGTTTCATTTGCTCCTTACAGCAGCCCTGAGATGGAGATTGTATCCATTTTATGGGTAAGAGAATGCAGGTTCACAGAAGCCCCCAGGAAGGGCCGTTCTCCAAAGCCAGCCCCACCTTTCCTGTCTCATTTGAATAGACATTGGGAGCCAAGGACTTGCATCTGTGGCTTCCTCTCTGGGGAGCCTTGTTTTGCCCTGTCCATTGGCTCCTGCTGCCTTCGGAGCACTTTTTCCCCAGTGCTCCATTCTTGTTTTTATTCAACCATCATCTTGATTCTTTTTTTTTGAGACGGAATCTTGCTGTGTCACCCAGGCTGGAATGCAGTGGTGCGAACTCAGTTCACTGCAACCTCCGCCTCCTGGGTTCAAGTGATTCTCCTGCCTCAGCCTCCCAAGTAGCTGAGATTACAAGCATGCACCATGACGCCCAGCTAATTTTTGTATTTTTAGTAGACACAGGATTTCACCCTGTTGGCCAGGCTAGTCTCAAACTGCTGACTTCAGGTCATCTACCCACCTCGGCCTCCCGAAGTGCTAGGACAGGGGTGAGCCACCGCTCCTGGCTTTGATTCACTTTTCATGCAACCCAGCTGCTGTTCTGTGGCTTAATTTATATAACACATCCACTTGCCCATGCACTCGCCTGCCTGCCTGGGCTTCCAGCCTTCTGTGGTGCTGCCAGAGTTGAACCATCAGCAGATTTAACAGGGTATACCGGGAGGAAAAATAATCCTCCAACTCTATCACCAGCCCACGCCTGCACCCCAGCCTCTACTCCACATCAAACCTGATCCTACCTGCATCCCAGTTTTCCTTTGACTTCATGCTGCTTATCTACCAGCGTCTGGAATTTAACACCTGCTTGACCCATGCCCCCTTCCTGAATGACCGCCTCTGTCTCCTCAACCACCCGGCAGGGCCCATACTCACATTTCCTGACTTCCTGACCATGGCAGCCCACGGCTCCGTCTGCTTCTCTGACTTCGCCATCACTTACTTCCTCCTTTTTGACTTAGTGTTTACACTACTTTTTGGCAGAGTAGTTGAGGAAAGAGCCCTGCCTGCAATTAGGAGGTGCAGGTTGTATGAACTTGGGTAAGTAATAATTTGGCCTGCTGGATTCTCCATTTTCAAATTTTGGGGATTTTCAGGGATTGGATCAGATCCGTAATTTTTCTTTTTTTTGAGACAGAGTTTCACTCTTGTTGCCCAGGCTGGAGTGCAATGGCGCAATCTCTGCTCACTGCAACCTCTGCCTCCTGGGTTCAAGTGATTCTCCTGCCTCAGCTTCCTGAGTAGCTGGGATTACAGGTGTGCACCACCAAGCCCAGCTAATTTTTGTATTTTTAGTAGAGACAGGGTTTCACCATGTCAGTCAGGCTGGACTCAAACTCCTGACCTCATGTGCCGCCTGCCTCGGCCTCCCAAAGTGCTGGGATTACAGGTGTGAGCCACTGTGCCCGGCCCAGATTCATAATTTTTTCAACCAGTTTTTCCAGGAAGGTTCTTCAGAGATTGCTTTGATGGGTAGAGAGTGGTGGGGAGGGGAACCAAGTCAGCAGGAGCTTTAGGTTTCTGCTGTTCCTTTCCACTGGAGACCCCACTCTGAGTGGACAAAGGGACTAGGCTTCTAAATGCTACTGAAAGAAGAAGGAGAGGAGAGAAAGAAGAAAGTGATTGAAAGCTCCAGATTGCTGGGCCTGGTGGCTCATACCCACCTGTTGCCCCAGCACTTTGGGAAGCCAAAGCAGGAAGATTGCTTGAGCCCAGGAGTTTAAGACCAACCTGGGCAACATAGTGAGACCCCATCGCTACAGAAAAATTACAAATTAGCTGAGCGTGGAGGCACAAGTCTGTTGTCCTAGCTCGGGAGGCTGAGGTGGGAGGACTATGAGGTCAAAGCTGCAGTGATTGTGCCACTGCATTCCAGACAGAACAAGACCCTGTCTCAAAAAAAAAAAGAGAGAGAGAAAAAGAAACCCCAGATTATTTGTAATTACATGATCTAAAAAGACTCTTGCAAGTCTAATATGGCAGAGTCTAAGTCTTTTCTCCCCAGGTGAGTTCGGCATCTTGAGGGCAGGACCCACACCTGAGACACAGTTGCGTGCAGACACACAATGGGAGCTCAGTGTGTGTGGGATGAAGGAGGGAACAATGAACCCTCTCTTCTCATCTGCGATGTTCCAGTGTATCTCCCCTCACCAGCCAGACTGACAGGCCCGGTTCTTGCCTTTTTTTTGGTTTCCCCAGAGCTCCTAGTGCAGAGTCTACAGTCTGGCCACAAACCCTTCTTTCTAATTAGAAGACTGGTCAGGTGGGGGTGAAGGAAGGACCTCTGGAAGACACAAGCTGTAAACTCTGAAGCAGCGACTTTAAAGTATAATAAAACAATGTCAAAGCCCTGGGTGTGAGTCCTGCCTCCTTTACCACTTTCACCATCTCCAACAATGTCTCAAGTCCCTCTGAACCTCAGGTTTCTCAGCTAGGTAACAATGCTTATGATTTGCTTAGTATTGTGAAGACAAACTCTATCTAGACCCCTAGGCTGGGTGGGTAGGGTCATAAGAAATTCCCCTCTCACCCTGAGACTTTGCAGTCTCCCTGATATGGGAGGCTGAGAGATCTATTAATTGCTTCTTCATAGTCTGCTAGGCCCGAGATGAAACCGCAATTGAAAGATTCATGGTTGAGACATGAGAAGCAATCACTTGCTAATAAAACCCACACAGTAAGATGAGCCTTATAAAAACCGCTGCAGAGTGACAGAGGCCAGAAGAGCTGCTTGGGAAGGGAGGGGACAGGACAGGGTGGTTCTCCGGGGGAAGCCGTGAGCCAGCCCACTGGGACCAGTTCACAGCACACAGAACAAAGCCATGGGGTTGCTGTGGCCTCAGCGATGTCATTTCATCTCTCAGGACCTGTGTCTACAGATTGTGCCTGGCCTTCCTGGGCCATGAGGCCTTCCTGGGGGCTAAAACAATGAGGTCAGAGAGATTCCTCTCCAGCATCACACCTCTTCTTTTAGCAGCCCCTCCCCTCCCTCCCATCCTCTTCAGATGCCCAGAGCCTCTTGAACAAGAAAGAAGAACATCAAAGAGTCCATTGGAGCAGCTCTCCCACCCACCCCCAGGATCTCTTTCGGAGGGGGCCGCATCTCCAGGGGATCCTGAGAGAGGAATTCCAAAGCCAGAGGCTGTGTGTGACCCACAGATGTGTGTGTGTTTGGTCATGGTAACTTCAACAGAGTTTTGTGAAAATATAATTTAATTGATGGGATTTTTAAAAACCAGATTTTAATTAAACTAGGGCTTCCTTGATCCACTTCTTCCTATCCTATTCTGGCTTCTTTTGGAAAGTGGAATCACCAAAAGGGCTTGTCTCACATTCTCACTGCGTACGAATTGGCAGAGCTGAGCAGCTGCTGCCCTCCATAAAGGAAACATTTATTAATCCTTCCCAGTTTGCCGCAGTTCCTACCTCTCCTGATTGTTCCCTGTCATTACCTGGCCTCTCCCATTTGTGCCACTGTCTGGCTCCTGTAGCATCTGAGCTTGTGGCCTTAGACTTTATTCAAAGAAATTACTTAGTAGGAGAAGAAGCATGGAGATGCATGAATATTTCTGCAGAGGAATGTCTTCTTGCTCCTAATGCCATTCCATTCTGGAGGCTGCCTCTCCTAAAGAAGCGAATCCCACCACAGTTTCACAGATCAAGGAGCACACTCAACTGCCAAAGGATTAGGAAGAAAGTTTGCAGGGATCTGTGCAGCTCCCTGCCCCCACAGCCTGCCTCCTCCAGCACCAACAGCTGCCTGTTTTGTCACAACCAGCAAGTTGAGGCTCCATCCCTTGCTTACCTTTCCGTGACCCAGGCTGGAGTCAGCTTGTGCCTGGACCAGCCAGCCTGACCTTGCAGTTTGTTTTGTTATCAGGGCCTTTTGCTTTGTGCCTGCAGACTGCCTTGTTTGGGGTAGCCCCTCGCTGAATGCCTGCCTGGGTTTCCTACCAGCCCCTCAAAGCTCTAGGAACAAATTGAATTCTGCCCTGCCCCTCCCATGCACAGTCTCTGCAGCTGAGCCTCACCCCTGGGATGCCAGCTGCCTCTGCTAGACTCCTTAAGCTGCAGGGCTTCCTTGATCCACTTCTGCCTATCCTGGAGGCTGACCTGTTCTGATCCCCTAGGACCCAGTGACCTGCAATATGCCTCACCTACTGCCTGCCTGGCCCTGTGTAGGATGATGCCAGCAGAAGCAAAGCTTGTTTGGAGAGTAGGGGTTAGGTGGGATTTTGACCCCCTCTTACTCCCTCTGCCAGGCATCTTTGTGCACAATACATGATGACCCTGAGTAAGTTCTCCTGGGCCCTGAGCACCTCAGGGTCCTGAGTAGGGCGTCCCTGTGTGGCCTCATCCTCTCACTGATCCAACTTCATTTCTGATACTCACCTCCCAGTTTCCTATCATTTCCTCTTCTTTCTTGTCTGACACCTAATCCTGGGGAAGCAAATGGTTAATATAAATAATTATAATCATATTGAGATTCTGTTTGTGGCAGTGTACTAAGCATGACACATGCATTATTATATTTAATTTTTACAACCACCAGGACTGTCACCCCCATTTTCCAGATGAGGAAACTGAGGCATAGAAAGATCAAGGAATTTCCCCAAGGTCCATCACTAATGAGTGACAAAACTAGGATTCAAACCCAGATCTGTCTGTTGCTAAAGCATAAACTTTCAACCACTCAGCTCTGTCTTCCAAACCAACGAAAGCTACAAAGGAAGCTCAGAGAAGCCAGTAATTTGGGGTCACACAGCTCATCAGTGACAGAGCTGGAATTTAAACCCAGATGAGCTTCTGTTACCAAGTCCAAAGCTCTTTCACGTGCTGCATATATTCTTGGGCTGCCTCTGCTCTCTGCCCCTTAGCTCCTGGCTGGTGGGCACACAGGAGGTGTTTACTTGCAGATGGAAGGACTTGCCTCTTTTTATTTGATATGCCTAGATTGAATCAGTTTCTTATAGACTCTCTTCCAATTGCTTTGGTATCAGCCAGGATGGCCTTGTCCTTAGACAGGTTAGATGTTAGCTCAACCCCCATTTTCCCAAACCTAAAGGGCCTGTAGTTCCAGCATGGAATGCAGATTTCCTAGGGTAGGAGAAGATAATGAATAGGATTTGATGTTTAACATCTCAGGATAAATGAGTTTTTCAGAAGGTTTTCCAACAAGAGGGGCTGGCTACAGGGAGGGGACAAGAGGAACTGAAGTGCTGGTGGAGGGTAGCTGGGGAGCAGGTGACAGGCTGAATCTTCTGAGCAGGGTATGCAGACAAATTTTATGCAGTGTGGCCAGGCACAGTGGCTCATGCCTGTAATCCCAGAACTTTGGGGACCGAGGTGAGATCAGGAGTTCAAGACCAGACTGGCCAACAAGGGTGAAACCCTGTCTCTACTAAAAATACAAAAATTAGCCAGGCATGGTGACACACTTGTAATCTCAACTACTCTGAAGGCTGAGGCAGAAGAATCGCTTGAACCCAGGAGGCAGAGGTTGCAGTGAGCCGAGATCATGCCACTGCACTTCAGCCTGGGTGACAGAGCAAGACTCTGTTTAAAAAAAAAAAAAAAATCTATGCAGCATGATTTTCTGGAGATTAGAGCCTCTTGATCCTACTTCCTTGAGTTCTGTATCTCTGGGTCTGACCTTTTCTCTTGGGCTCAAGAGGCCCCTGGCCCAGGCCCCTCTTCCTAGCTAGGAATGTTAACTCACATACTCCTGGAGTAGAGCCGGGGTTGGGAGAGCCCTGGGAGAGGGCAAGCAGAAATGCCACTTCCACACAGCAGGGCTTCACATCTGTCTCCTTCAAGTGGTCCTGTCTCTAGACACAGCCCCTGGAAATGGTCCTGCCAAGCAGCTTGGCTTGTCAGTGGCTATAATAGACAATAAACTATGTGAGAGCCTTTAAGAGCTTTGGATCCCCAGCCTGCCTGGTAGAAATAGGTTTCTCAGAGGCCTGTGCCAGACTGAGTTCCTGGCAGGCTAGTGGGGATAAAGGACTTTCCAGAACTTTCACCCAATCCAATTTAAATGAGCAAGGATTTACTAAGCCTCTCTTGAGTGCCAGTACTGTTTTTTGGATACCAGGGCAGGAGACTCCTAGCTGTCCTATTCCAATTCTTTTTTATATCTTAATAGCAGCTGAGTTTTCTCAAAGCCAGCAAGGCATTGTGCTTAGGGGCTTTGGAGTAAGACACACGTGGGTTCAAATTCCTCTGCTGCTGGCTGATTGCATGACACATAACTGAGCCACAGTGATGGTTTCTTCATCTGTAAACCATCAACTTCACAGGGCTGAATATGAGAATTAAATGAGACTGTGCATGAGCATAGACAGTCTGAGACCCTTCCAGGGTCCATCACCAGGAAGGCATTGTTATTTGTCAATAGCAGCAATCAAACCAATAAACAAATAAAACCAGAAAGCCTCCCCTGTCCCCATGAAACCATCCCTTTTCTCAGGCATCTCCCATACTTCCCTATTACTCATAGGACAAAATCTTGCCTTCTTTACTTGGTATTCAAGGCCTTCCACATAGAGCCACATTTCAAGTGCTCAACAGCCACATATGGCTTATGGTTAACTTATTGCACAGTGCAGATGAGCACATTCCCATTACTGCAGAAAGTCTACTGGACAGCCCTGCTGTAGGTGATATTATAGCTCACTCACCTGAGCCCCTTTCCCTGGAGCAGGTTTCAATAGTAGTGTGGCATAAGCATGGTCGGCATGAGTGGGCACCATCAGGCCAAGGAAAGAAGTCACCAGTGCTCAGGGAACTGAGGTCAGACCACAGGGGTAGCCATTAACAACCGCCCCCACCAACACCACCACCAATAAGTAACCCTTTACTCCTTTTCCCCATTTTGGCCTTAGCTTCCCTAGGGGTGGCCCTGGAGGATAAGGAGAGTAGGCGGCAGTAGAATGTAGGAGCAGACACTTGGACTTGGTGGGCCTCCTTAATTTACTACACATGACCTTTCTCTCAACTGTTTAATTATGCCTATTCTCCGGTTGCTGAGAGGAGGAAACACTTAACAGCTGGCCCCTGCCACATATTTGATAAACTAGGGAGAGTTTACAAAATGACAGACCCTTCCCCTACCTTTAAATAAGCCCCATATATAAAAATCTGTCTCTGCCAAAGGAGTGTGTTTGTTTTTTGAGATGGAGTTTTGCTCTTTTTGCCCAGACTGGAGTGCAGTGGGGAGATCTTGGCTCACTGCAACCTCTGCCTCCCAGGTTCAAGTGATTCTCCTGCCTCAGCCTCCTGAGTAGCTGGGATTACAGGCATGCATCGCCACAGCTGGCTAATTTTGTATTTTTAGTAGAGA